GAGAAACTGATGACCTCTTCTGGCATCATTGGCACTAGGAACACATTTAGTGTGCACACATACATACAAAATACTCATAAATTTAAATTGAGTCAGATCTAGCTATTCTGGAACTGTGTAGTCCAGGCTGACCTTGAACTCCTGAAGATCCACCTGCCTCTGCCTCCCAAGTGCTGGGATTAAAGGGGTGCACTACCATGCCCCAAACAAAATAAGTTTTAAGAAAAAGATGTTTTATTTTAAAAAATAAAAGTAGCCACCTTGGGGACTGGAGAAGTGGGTTAAGAGCACTTGCTGCTCTCCCAGAAGACTAGTTCCCAGTACCATCCGCGGCAGGTGACAATCATTTATAGTGCAGTTCTAGGGAATTTAAAGCCTTCTTCTGGCTTCCTTAGGCAACTGCACATATATGGCATACAGAGTTACCAAAACAAATAAAAATTATACATACATACATACACACATGTGTATGTGTGTGTGTGTGTGTAAGTGACCTCCCTCAAAGTGGAACCTATGCCAAAGTCTTCCTGCCTTACTGTCCTCAAAAGCAACAAGAAATTCAAAGGCTGAGGAAGGAGGAAGTACTCAAGGGCAGCCTTGGCTAAGGAAAATCACCAGTTATTTTTCTTCTTAGGAACTAAGACATAGCTAACAATTGTGAAATAGATGCTCTATTTCTACAGGCATCTGAAAGACGAGAGCCAGATCTTGCACTCCAGTCCTAATCTCCCTCTGATCAGAGAGTGCCTTCCTGAGCACAGCACAGCCCTCCAAACGACATTAATCCTAATTGTGGTCCAAGGCTACTCCATCAGTAGCTTCCTATAAAGCAACAGGTAACTGTGCTGACTAGCTTCTACCAGTCTGACAAGCTACTCAATTAAGTGACAATGAGAAAATATTCCCAACCAAATTGGCCTGTCAGGCAAGTGTGGTAGCTTTTCTTGATTGACATGAGGGCCCAGCTCACTGTGGGAGGTGCCATCTCTGTGTTGGTGGTCCTGGGTGCTCTAACAGGCTGAGGTTGAGATTAAAGGTACTGCCTTTAATCTCAGCACCTGGGAGGCAGAGGCAGGCAGATCTCGAGTTCAAGGCCAGACTGGTCTACAGATCGAGTTCTAAGACAAGCTCCAAAGATACAGAGAAACCCTGTCATATAAACCACCCCCCCCCCAAAAAAAAAGATGAGCTGTATGGTAGTGGTACAGGCCTTTAACCCCAGCAATTGGGAGGCAGAAGCACAATGCATCTGTGAGTTCATGGCTTAATCTGGCCTACAGAGTTCCAGGACAGCCATGACTGTTATTGACAGCACTATGACCGTTACAGAAACCCTGCCTTGAGAAACCAAAAAGAAAACAGGTCAAGTAAGCAAGCCAGTAAGGCCTTCATGCCTTTGCATTGGCTACTGCTTCCATGCTTCTTCCCTTTTGGGTCCTGCAGACTTGTCTGGGTGGACTGTGCTGTGAAACTGTAAACTGATATAATTCTTGCCCAAGCTGCTTTTAGCTATCGTGTTTCATCTGATAGAAACCAACCTGTTGGGAATGGAGAGATGGCTCAGAGCACTGGCTGCTCTTAAGAGATCCCAGAGTTCAATTCTCAGCAACCACATGGTGGCTCACAACCATCTATTGTAAGATCTGGTGCCCTCTTCTGGTGTGCAGGCAGAACAACGTACACAACCCGTCAGCTGCACTGGTCATTCAGAAGAGGATGAGTTACTGTTTGTGTATGACAGCCTAGTTTTATGGAGCCATTTAAATAGCCAGACATTAAGGTATGCTTGTTCTCAGAACAAGCTGAAAACCAATGTGAGTGCACTTGTCTCTAATCATAACGTGGAAAACTGATCTCTCGATTTAGCCCTGGCAGGCCCATCTTCTATCTCCCAGGGGCTGGAATTAAAAGCACACACCACCACCAGGAGCCATTTTCTGTTCACCAGCACACCACCTATTGCCCTCAATGCTGAAAGCAACCAACTTCCTGTCCTGGCTATTTCATATACAAACATATGGCCTGTGTTGATAATTTATGCTGCAACCAATGACTCATATCAATTGCATACTTTTAGGTTCTGAATATTGTCCTATTAGGCTTGTGGTCAGTCACTCATGTCTAGAGCAAGCAATACTTGGCAATACTCAACCAGCGTCCCACTTGCCAACATTAATATTAGAGTTGAACATGTATGGTGGTTAATTCCTTGTGTTTGAGTGACCACACAATTGTGCACTTTACCAGCAGTGTCTAAGGCTCTTCTCACCATACTTTTTACAGATCACGTGCTTGTCTGCACAAATCTGCACTCCTACAAGGTAGAGGAGCAGAGGTGAAGGGCACCCTATCTAGACTTCCTGGAACTGGACTTAGCACACCTCGTGGATACTGGGAACTGAACCTAGGTCTTCAAGAACGAAGACCTCTTGCTGAGCCATCTACGCACCCAACACTGACCTGTAGACTCAGTAAACTTCCCTAGAAACAGCTCCGCTAGCTGGTTCTCTATTCTCAGTTAACTCAGGTTGCTGAAGGGTTCTCTAGTACATGCTGCTGACATCAAAGCCCATCTCCCCCATCCTATAACAACCTATTCAGCACTTTTTTCAAGGTACTAGTTTGTGTGCACCAGCACGTGTTTAGTCAGAGACAAGTGTGGATGGCAAGGAATTCAACTCTGGTCATCACCTTTACCCACTTGTTTAAGTCAATGACCTGACCCACTTTCCAGATTGTTGAAATTCTCTGATGCTTCCTAAGTTCTAGTCTTGTTCTTTTTTTTTTTGTTTGTTTTTTGTTTTTGTTTTGTTTTTCGAGACAGGGTTTCTCTGTGTAGCTTTGCACCTTTCCTGGGACTCACTTGGTAGTCCAGGCTGGCCTCGAACTCACACCCGGCCTAGTCTTGTTCTTTACTTTGTTCACATGTAAGAATCCTCTACTAAACTAAAGGTCATAAAACCTTTCTACTTTTTGGGTTTTTTTTTTTTTTTTTTTTTTGAGTCAGGGTCTCACTATGTCACTCTGGTTGTCCTGGAACTCAGATCTGCCTGCCTGCCTGCCTGAAACATCTGAATTTCAGGCTTTAAAAATCATTTTGGCCGGGCGGTGGTGGCGCACACCTTTAATCCCAGCACTTGGAAGGCAGAGGCAGGCGGATCTCTGTGAGTTCAAGGCCAGCCTGGGCTACAGAGTGAGTTCCAGGAAAGGCACGAAACTACACAGAGAAACCCTGTCTCGAAAAACAAAACCAAAACCAAAAAAAAAAATCATTTTGCCTCCAGCAGTGTTGATAGCACAGAGGCAGGAGGATCTGTGAGTTCAAGGCCAGCCTGGTCTACGGAATGAGTTCCAGGACAGTCAGGACTACAGAGAAACCCTGTCTAGGAAACAAACAAAATGTTGTCAACTCGCCTGTTCCTCCAGCATCAATTTTAAGGCTTCGATGGATGTTCCTGTAATCCTGTTAAGCCCCAGTTTGACCATGTATTGTAGTATAGGACACCAAATAGATGACTCTACTACCTAGATTTAACTTTGGGTACATCATCAGACAAATCCAAAAAACAGCCCTATTTGAACAAAAGACAATCAAGATTTTAAAATCTTTATTAAATGGCAGTAAGTTCATTCCTCTTTCATCTTGACTCATTTTCTGACACAGCTCACTTGATCCTGTCAATTAAAAAATATGATTAATCCAAAAGAACCAGGAATCAAAATTTAAGACAAGTTACTAAAGTCTAACACCAACCAATTTGCCTAAACCCTGTTAAACCAAGGAATGTGGTAGTTAGTGGGGGTTTAGAGTAGCAAACAAGGAGCTACAAGGCAGTTTAAACTGCTGGGTGAGGGATGGAGCTCAGCAAGCTGAGGTATCTGCCAAAAGCTTTCATGAAGCCCTCGACAATTCTTAACAGCACACACACACCAAGTACGGTGACACCTTCCTGTAATCCAGTTCTCTGGAGGTGGGGGGGAGGAGGACCAAGTTAAAAGGGTTGTGTTTGACTTCACAGCGAGCCTCATGCCATCCTAGTACACAAGGCTGTCTCTCCAAAGAAATTCAACCCTCATTTCACTTACCTAGACTATCTGTCAGGCTACACATGTGGCTTTTCTTCTTGGCTGGCCCATGTTGTGTGATGTCTTGAGAAGAAACATCTGATTCCACCTATACAACAAGATTTAAATAGCCCATACATTTTAGCCTATATGTCTTGTACTGGTATTAACAAAGAGCAACTTTTTGGACACAGGCTCTGAACAATTTTTATTATAAATATAGCAATATATCACACACAATATATTTGGTATAGGTATATGTGGCAAAGACCAAGGTGGCCAAAAGAACCACACTGACATGAGGTTTTAAAACCTGAAAGTACAACATATTTCTTCTCTCAATTTCAAGCTTTTTTTTTGGTAGCTGTTAATTTTTGTTTTAAGCATGCAGCATTTTGAGGTTTTGTTTGTTTTTTTTTTAACTGTTCATTGTTTTCAATTTTTGGGGTTTTTTTCAAGAAAATGGTTTTTCTGTGTAGATCTGGTTGTCCTGGATAGGTCTGTAGACCAGGCTAGCCTTAACTCAAGAGATCCACCTCCCTCTTCTTCCCAAGTGTTGGGATTAAAGGTGTGGATCACTACCATGCAACTTAAAATTGTTTTAAATGTGTGTTTTGGGTGCTGCCACGCAGGTAATACAAATCACACCAGGTGTCACACAGCATGCAACGCAAGTGCCCCTGTTTCCTAGCCCTCAACTGTCAGCTAAAATGGGCATGTTGGTAAATTTTGGAGAACCAAACAATTTTCAGCATCAAAGCAAAGATAAATCAGATCCCCAAAGCCCCATTTCTAAGGACACTTACTTCAAGTAGAGACGCCAAAATCAGCCAACATCAATCATTCTCACCTAAAGAATAATAAGAAAAAGTTAATATAAAAGACAAGGGTGTAAGATAAAAGGCTTGAAAAATGCTAGTTAACTTCCAAATTTAAAAGAGCAAAATCCCAGAGATTAAAGACTGGAATAAGTTATAGCATTTTAAAAAAAAAAAAAAAAAAAAAAAAGGAAGAAACTTTATGGGGGGAATCTAAAATTATTCTTTCTGTAAGTAATAAGTAGATGACAGAATTAGGATGAAAACTATCTTCTTTAAAATGCAAAAGCCTCATTTCTAGTTTCACCAGTCTGAGCACAATGAAGTTTGACTGTACCCCAAAATATACTATCCCTTATGTGAAGGTGTGTGCCAACGTCTACCTGACTGAGCTGTGAGCTCTACAGCATACCGCTTCCCCAGTCAATTCGTTGTGTCTTTCTTAGGTAGAATACCTCCAAGAAGAGTGCTTTGACCCTTTCCCACAGCACACAACACTGCAGTTCTTTACCCTGCAAGCCTATGTTTGCCTCAATCTTTGGTCTCCAAGTCCTCACTGTGTTTTCAGTTAGGGCAGGGGAGCTATGCCTTACTCCAACAGCAAGGAAAGTTTTTCTGAGGAAAAGTCAATGGCCCTCACTATATACCTGGCACAGTGCACAAGAAACAGAAAGCTCAGCCTTCAATTCAAGTTCCAGGTTTGTCTTCCCCCCTGTATCGTTACTGCCGCAGGTATATGGAAGAGTTCTCTGTTGCACATGGACCACCCATAAGGGATACTATATTGTTTTGCATTCTCTCCCCATTCTAAAATTATTCCCATTCTATATCCAGGCCCTTTTCACCTTCATTTTTCTTTTTTCTCCAGCACTGGTGTTCAAAAACATTTTATGATTTGTTGTTTACCAACAGCTGTTGAGATTTCCACATTTGTGTCTAAAACATTGCCAATCATTATCTAGCAGCAATGACAGATAAGGAGCAGTTAAATCCTCTGGATTCTCTCCCTGGTAGGGAGCCATTTGAGAACTGCACTAGCTAGACAGCACTAAACATTATCAGCTAAAGCCAAAACCAAGAAAAGGCTCAGAACAAACACCCCAGCTCTAAAACCTATCCGAAATCATTAACACAAAGGCAGCAGTAATAGTAATGCAGGACGACTGTGGATCATGTCACTGCAGCTGACAATGATTAACAATAGGAGACATGCACCCCCGTTAAGGTTAAAGTCCAAAACTAATCACACACATCTCTTCATTAGGGAGAGTGAGAGTATGCATTGCTGGGAGGCTGCAAGCAGCCTTATATCAAGAGCACCCATTACATCTCTTTCATCTTTCAGAAAGCACCGGGATCTGCTCCAAGGGCCTAACAGTACGATAATACATTCTGGCACCACACCTCTGAACGTAGGTTTTCATTTAAAAAACAATTATTTTGGTTGCAACAAGATTATGAAATACAATGCAAGCACCTCAGTATACTGGAACCCATTTAATTCCCAGTTTTTTTTTTAAGTGTTTTAAAATCCCAATGTACTGTAATATTCACAATTTACACCTACACACAAATTAAACTAGCACAAATCTACATAAAGTCAGTGGTTTCTCATTCTGAAATACAAAAGCCTAATCTTAAAGCAGACCAAGGGGAAGAAAAATAACCCCACCCCAAATTCCCTAAGTCTATATATTTTATCAAGTATATTCTCTACAAAAGTTGTTACTGTTCAGAAGAATAAACCTGAGCTCTTGTTAACATTCAAAATCGCTAACTGAGCCACGGTAGCAAGCCTGTGCTACCGATTTAACAGACTATGACCCTGCAATGTCCCCATCAGGGTTCCAGGTAGGTAGGTTAGTGATACTCATGTCACACTGTATGGTTTGTATGGTATAAGGAGCTAAGTCACCATTGCTTTCATCTGTCAGTAATCACAAGTTGGTTGTTTGGAGTAAATACAAATCTGCCCCACCATCTGACTTGCCTGACCAAAAGCAAGCCATTTTTCTTGATACAGTGAAAGAGAATTCTCACAGTCCTGAAGTTTTCAGCGGCACGTATGCAAAATGAACCAAACTTTCCAGTTATAGAACAGAAAGCATTATGAGTGGAAGCTGTTTCTCATGCATGCTACCTAAACACCAAGGTTAAACTGAAGTGAGATCTAAACAACAGCTGATAGAAAGCTCAAGTCCTAAGCAACAAAGGAAAATGCTTTGAAGACTCATGTAATCCTGTGATTATTAAACATTTTGGACTGTAATCAATCACATCCCTAAACTAGGAAGGAAGACCTACTCTGAACAAATGCACTCATTCTACAGAGACGACGAAGTCCTATGATAGGGAATGATTGCCAATGGTTTCAACTGTAGGAAGTCAAGTGTTTCACACTACTTTCCCCAAGTTTAGAGTATAAACATACTCAGACAAGCCACATAACTTAAACTATTCATAAGATTCCCATCTAAGCCCAAGTTAGTAACAACAAGTGTTCCCATGAAGCCCATACCTACAAAAATTTTATCACATTACATAAAAAAAAAACACCCCCCACCCTGTGTCATTTAGTCTTGATTCAATCAGCTTGCAAAACAATGATCAAGATTGCATAATGAAATTAGACATTGCTGACCAATGGGAGGTCAAGTTTGCTACTAAGGAGGCTAATTACACAGACTACAGTCTTCATCAAGGTGCCATGAGCACCCCAGGTCAAGTATGGTTTGGCTCCCTCCCACCCCCACACCAGATGTGCTCCATTTTATCTTCAGTTACAGTGTAACTAAAGAAAACCACAAAACTTCCAAGACACACCAAAGATTCAAGTTTGCATTTTTCTGAGATCTCCAACAACACTGAATTCCTAATAAATTACAGCTCTACCCCCAGCCCCAGATTTTTAATTAACCTAGCTTATCATACAAGTATCAGGTGCTGCACTGTTATTTCACTGTCAGAAGTGTGATGTCAGAATGCCCACGGAATAAAAGCACATAGCAAGTCACCAAGTTAGATTATATTGCTTGTTACCTACCTGGATGCAGTCGGCAATGAGAATCTTGGAGCAAGCAGGAATACTACATCCGGGTCCTAATGTCCATTGCCATTTGCGGTACTACGTTCCTCACAGTTACGCACTGCAGAAATGCTGGCTAAATGCAGTTATGTAGCAGGCCACTACTTTAATAGTGCACAATTGCAGTCCAAGAACACCACAAAACATTTCGCCACAACTTTGTGGCTTGCCCAAGCCAAGTACCTAAATTTTTATCTGCCATGATATGCCACTTGTAAGAACTGCACAGGTGTAACATTACAATTTTCCCAGATTATCTCTTTATATTAGTGGTACAACACACATAAAGAGTGGTGGGTTTTAAAGTACTTAGGAATTTAATGTCCTAAGGACAAAAGAATATGGTCTCACCACATAATGTATGTCAATGGGTTCAGCTTATAGCATGCCTATTAAATAAATTTCTGTCTTAGAGAATGAAACTTTAAGGAGGTATTTTTTTCAAGGATACCCTGCAAACAAAATTTTGAGGATGTGAAGAAATAGGGGCAGGTGATTTCTTCCAAGGGAGAATGCCTAAAATACGTCCTGTTGTATCTTCCCCTCCCACCCTAAGCTTCCTGTTTAGCTTTTGGTTCAACTGCTCAAGATGATTTCAATTCACTCTTAGGCTAAAACCATCACATGTAAGACTCATGGCAAGTCTCAGTAGCTGACAACCCTTGGTACACTGATCAAAGTCAGTGTCGGTCGGTTGGCACTATGCAACCTTATCTGCTAAACACGGTTTAGCAGCTCTACAGCCCACAATAAAGAAAGGCTATCAAAGCCACAATCTCATCCTGTAAGCATCCTTCACCACTCTGTAGTATACTACTACCAAAAGCTTATTTTAGGGGTCTGTGCCAGCATCCCTTATAAAGAAAGGCATGTAATCTGAAAAATAAACTGAAACATTAATTTTATAGGCAGATTTTCCCATTCCCCCTCCAGCCCCCACCCACATACATTCAAATTCACCCTCCATGGGTGTCCCATGAACACCTCTCAGGTCCCTACTATACAATTCAACCAAATGAGCTCCTTTCAAATCCAGATCTTTGTATCCGTACAGAAAACCTTTATATATCACCAATTATTAACTTCACTTGGGCCAAAAACTTTCTGATTGCTAAAATTATGATGGAACTACCTATTTCCAAGTGTACTGATGAAGAAAAATTAATCTATTTTTAAAGTAGATTTTTCTCCCTTAATACACCATATATACCTGTCAGTCATAAAACCATTTGGTGACATGCTTCTTATAATCCACTAGTGTTTACTTTTAAAAAAAATTACGGTATTTTCCTATTCATGAAGAACTCAATTGTTTCCACAAAAGTTCTTTTGTACTCAAGCACAGTACTCAACCTCAGCAAGTGATTTAGAATTTTTTGCCAATTAGCACCAAGGATAGAGGTGAAAAGGATGAAGACATTCCATAGTGAAAGTTCTATAATGTATAGACTTGAATGGAAATGGAACTAAGAACAGAGCCAAGCCATTCAATTACTTTAGTACTGTTAGAAGTTTTCTCTTAGCGTGTTTACACTGGGAAGAAAATCAAGCTCCCATTATACTCATAGACAACAGTAAACAATCTACTTTATTATTATCAAGTCAGAAAGTCTCTTGTTCTAGTGAAAGGAAATTCAGGGAAGTTGATAATCAACTAACATCATGGAAACACCCCCAAGCTTACGGTGGGAGGAAGAGTATTTATCCTGTGGAGCCTGAACAACTCTCTCCAGGTTTAGTGCTACGTTAAGAAGAATGCTATAAACAGGTCAACTCCATAGTGAGAACGGTTACTGGCAGTCCTACTTGGTAACAGGCACCACTAGCTCTTAAAGAGAACCAATACATTTTTCAGACTACAGATTTTGCTCAATAGCACAAGGAGGTGTATGTTTAGGAGTACATAAGGCTAAACATACCTTATAATTAACTAACCCTTAACTCTTCTCAAGTTAAAATTTCAAACTAAATCCCCATCTTTTAAATCACTTGAAGTAATACATGAAAAGGCTTCATGTTTAACAATCTTTAATTCAAATGCAAAAGTTCAGTACAAGCCAATTGTAGGGCTTGGGAATTTATTCATTTAAAACAAAACAATAGGGGAAATGCAACGATATGATCTTTCCATTCTCAAAAACTTTCAAGGAAAGGATCATAGATAGGGCCATAAGGGATCATTTAACCCGCCCCCTTTCTCTTGCTACCAGTAGTTTATACCCATTCCATAATCTTAGTACATGTTCCTGAATTAAGATTTACAGTTCAACTTTTCTAACATAACCATTTAAAAATGCTTAGCACCAGCTTGCTTCCTATAATGCCAAACAAATCTAACTATTTCAATATGCATTTCTTTTTAAAAGGGGGGGGCCACCATTTGTAGAAAGAATACTTAGCCTCCAGATACATTTCCCAGAAATGGCATATGCCACTCAAAGGCCTAGACACGCTCATGCTTTCCAAGTGGAATACCTAGCCTAATGTGCAGAGAAGCATGAATGGCAAAGTTGAAGATCAGTATAACTATTTTTCTATTTATTCGAAGCACAGTAAAAAAAATGGTACACTTTGGAAATTCAGTGGCACAAGGTACACTGCCATTAACTTGAGAAACATTATACAGTTAAAAAAAAAAGTAAATAAAAAGAAATTGTTTTCTCCTGTTTCAAACACTGCGTTACATAATTTTACCTGCCCAAACAGACCATTTACAAATATCAGGTCAATAAACTGCTAACATCCATAAAAAGGTAGCTTTCTTACTAAAATGCAAGAATTTAAAAGTGGTATCTAAACAAGAAAAGACAAAAACAAACTGGAATGAAAGCCTAGCTATCTAAAATCGGGGTTTTTTGTTTGGCCCTTCATACTCTTCTCTCCCTCTGCCATATCCTGCTGGAGTTCCAGGCCCCATTCCTCTAGGACCCTGTCCACCCACAGGACCCGCACCTCCCTGCCCAAAGCGCTCAGTACGCTATTGGAACAGTAAATTAACAGTTCATTAAATGTAGTTGATGTCCATGTGTGTTAAGTAAATATTTTAGAAGGTTCCGTAGTCAACGTTCGTCGATACAATCACCAATGAGTCGATCCACAGGTACCGGGAACATAGAAAGGAAAAAAGGGTAATTTGAAAATTAGTTTACGGTAATACATGCCTTGTGGTATGTTCCCACTTGAGCCATTCTCATACACCTGTTTCAAAGAATAGATCTTCCCTGTAGTGCTAAAAAATTTAATTAGTGCAGATGTGAAAACCCATTCGAAAATGAGTTCTAAGAAATTCACATCAGATTAATCCACTGAAACACCTGTCCAGGTATGAACAGAAAATCATCTCCAACCATAAGAAGCTCAATCAGACAAAAAGCAACTCACTCAAGAAGTGACAAAGACCTACTCACCAGTTAGTGGCATGTGCTGCATAAGAAACCTTGTGCTTTTCAAGATCTTAAGACACATCTGCAAAGTTGCAGAAATCTTAAAAAGTTGGAATGAAGCTTAATAAAATTGCTACCGGACTACAAAAAAGAAAAAGCACAAAAAAACTAATAGATTTTTACTTAACCGGCACAGTGACTTGATCAAAAACTTATGTTGCCACAGTCTCACAGGCATACCACACTTCAGAGCCATCACTATAAACCAGAGACACTTACATGCACAGTATGTTTCTGCATTGTTACAAACACAATACACAGTCCACCTACTTCAAAAGTCCAACTTTTTCGTAGTTTTGGAAAGCACACTATCACTTTGTTATGATTCCATGTTTTAGGTTATCTCCCAAAACAGCCTATTCACCGAGCTAGAGGGACTGCAATAAAGCAGTGAGTGACTTCACTACTCATCCAGTTTTAGGTACTTTCACTTTAAATACAAAGTAAAATAAAACCCACATATCCTAACAACAGAACCCTACAGGCATTCCACTTACAGGCATTCCACTTACAATTCTACTCAAAATAACCCAGTTATTGGTCATTACTCAAAATAAAAAAAATAAAAATAAAATAAAAATTGCACCAGGCTTTAACTGTTCCTACAATTTCAACTTAAAACACTACAGAACTACTTGGAACAGACTACTCTTAATCTTTTACTATTGAAAAAAAATCTTCAAAACTGTATGGCTTCTACAATAGAGCTAAAAAGAAAATTTTGGAGGTTTCAGAGTTATCTTAAATACTTAAGACCTTAGGAGTTGTTAAATGCATAAACCTTTGTCTAGACATAGAACCTAAACTAAGAACACTAAGAAACTAGTTAATAAATTTGATACACCTTGTGCCTTCTAGAAAGTATGGAAGACCAAAATGTTAATTTTAAGTTCAATTTGATGAAACCTAAGAGCACTATATCCAACCATTTATAATGCTAACTTAAATTTTTCAAGAAACCTTAGGCAGGTTTTAAATGAGATCTCACATTAAAACAATAAATTCCTATTTAGAAAATCAATCCTATGAGCTAGAAAATGGAGCTCCTTTGTGACAAAAGCCTACAGGTGAATTATTTAGATTCAATTCAGTTACAAAAATGTATTCCCGCCAAAATGCAGTTCCTAAGGATCTGCAAAGCCCTACTGCAGCCACTCATACCAAAACTCACTTTATTTACTATTGGAAAGCACCTGACAGGCTATCTCATAGAGAGAAAAGTGTGATTGCATCAAGGGGTCTAGAACAAATGCACACAATCAGTATGCTTAAATTGCTGTTGCCTTTTGCTACCCTGTAGCAAAGTAGAACCATCAGTTCCTTTTAGATGTACCTACAGAGACCCAGCAGGTGGGAAACGACGAGTCAGAACACTAGACAGTTTTTTTCATGGGCTAGAAATAGAAACCACACCAATTACAGATCCAAGTCCTACCTGTCGCTCTAACATGCTTAAGGCTACAAGCCTCGAGTCTCATTCCTACTTATGGCAAATACCAGCTCGAGAATGGCACTGTGCCATTTCTCTCACTTGGATGAAGACAAACCATATACAATTACCTAGCATCTAAAAATTTGGATTTGCCATGCACTGGGGTTCCAAGTGCACAGACAATAAACTGGAAAACACCTATCTACTTATTGCCAAAGATAACTCCATATACAGCAGCATTGACTCCTTGTTGGCAACCAGATCTGTTTAGGTTACCACACATAGTTCTACATTGCCAAAGTAGTCCTCAGTATTATATATGTTTACATGATGGGGGAACTAAAAGTCCAGTCAGCTACTTTAAAGAGAGAAAGAGAGAGGAAAAAATAAACACTTAAGTCATGAAATTAAGCATTTCCTTTGTACTATGTCCCACAGGATACATTACCATGTCGCTTCCCATCATGGAACCACTCATGGTTGCTGGTGGAACTCCAGGATTGGCTTCATAACCTATGCCACCACCACCACCTAGAGGTGGAAATTTCTGGCCTCCTGAACCATAGGGATCTGGGAGACAAAAACAGTAGTCAGCACCACCAGAGCACTGCTGCACCATGTTGACACCCTTCACTGAATCCTCTCACTTACCTCCCATGTTCATTGTTCCACCACCACCCATTCTCATGTCTCTTTCTCTCTGGGGGAAAAAAAGTACAAAAAATAAAACTCTTACTTATAGGTGACAAGCCAAGTACTCAATTACAAAGAAAATTCAACACAAGAAATGTATCCAGGCTTGGAGGGACACACTTCTAATTCCAGCACTTAGGTGGCAGAGGCAGGAAGCTTACCAACCTAGTGTACATAGAGAATTCTAGGCCAGTCAAGGCTACAGAGCAAGACCTTGCCTCAAAGTACAAACACACACACAAAACAATTCAAGGCTCAAAAAAAGCATGTTTCTCTATGATTGCAAGTGTCCTGAACACTGGTTAGACTATCAAAACAAAGAAATAAAACTCCATGTAGCTGAGAGGTGGTGGTGCATGCCTTTAATCCCAGAACCAGGGAGGACAAGGCAGGTGGACCTCTAAGATAGAGGCCAAAGCTGTTACACACACAGAAAAAAATAACAATTTGTTCCAGTGAGATCTGGTTATGGTGAGTACCACACACACAACACATGAGACAGCTGCACTGAAGACACCAAGTCAACTTCATGCTAATCGGTCCCCCCCGCCCCGGGGAGGCCCCAGACAGCTCCAATTAGACTGCACACACAACTTACAGGGTCCATGTAGCCCATCCTGCTGTAACTTTCTTCTCTCTGGCGTCTCATTTGTTCTTCCATCTCTCGTTGACGAATCATCATCTCTTCCTCTCGTCTACGCCGTTCCTCCTCTTGCCTACAAATGTTTTTCAGGCATATAAACCAAAGTGTCATCTATATCCTTAGAATTTATACTTAAGAGGTCAGCCAGCTATGGTGGTCCTTGCCTTTGGCAGAGGGAAAGGGATCTCAAGCTAGCTAGTGCCACACAGCAACAACACCGTGATTCAAAAAAATACTTGAAAAGAGCTAGTAGTGGTTTGTCTTACCGTTTTAAAATGTGTAGGTCAAACTATACTGTTCCAAGTCTAGAACACAACTCTACAGACAGCAGCATTCTGGTAAAGAACAAGGTTTCCTAAGGCACTTAGTACAAGGTGGAAGTGAAGGCTGGATTTAACACTATACCTCAATTGCATTTCTTTACGCTTTTGCATTTCCTGACTGTGAAGTTCTTCCATGCGCCTCAATTCTTCCTGGCGTCTCATCAGATCTAAACATTGGAAATTAACACTTTTAGATTTGTGTTAATGAGGTTCTGGCCACTTTAAATGCCAATTGATCCTTACCAGTAAAATTCTGAGGCTTTTTTTTACCTTGGCGCAAAAGATTTGCTTGATGCTCATGGTAGGCATCTTCCATTTCACTTTCCAATTTATCTTTTGCATCCTTCATGTTTTTTTCAACTTGTTCCCTTTGCTGTTTTTCCATTTCATCCAAGGACTTCCATCGTTGAGAATATTCATACTCAAATGTGCCATGCTGAGCAAAACGAGGAGGTGTTTCTCTCTCCCTGACAACACAAAATTTATATAAAGCCAATGTGAGAATGTAGTATTACCTTACTTTCTAAAAATCAAAACCTAAACCTTCTAAAATAGGCATGATGGTTCATGCCTTTAATTCCAGCACTTGGGGAGACAGAGGCAGGCAGATATGAGTTCCAGGACAGACAGGACTACAGAAAATCCTGACAAGGAAAATATTAAGTATGTGTCAGGATATGGCCCAATAGTAAAGCACTCGTATGTAGCATAATGAACAATGTCCTGGATTTGATCCCCAGCACCAAGGATGGACAAAGAAACACAAGACATGGTGCTTTCTCTATACCACTGTGATGTCTTTAAGATCCCTCAACTTGCAATCCTGCTCAACTGTGTTAAGAAACACAAGACACAAATCAGAATGATAGTGAAAGGGACTGGAAAGATGCTCAGCAGTCGGTGGGGGGAAAAAAGCACAGCACTCCTTACAAGAGACCCGAGTTTGGTTCCTAGCACCCTCTTCTTGTCTCCTTGGGAACCAGGCACACATGGTGCACAGACATACATGCATACATTAAAAATTAAATTGTACTTTGTAGACACTGCTTAATAGAGGATTTCTAGCAACACTTTCATTCCCCTGAAGCCTTCACTCAGTCTCATACTATCTTCTTTATAATCTCCACCCCTTTTTGAGACAATGTCTCACTGTGTAGTCCTGGCTGACCTGGAACTTGCCTCCTAGATAAATGCACACGTGTAACCATGAATTATTTACCTAACTGTATCGGATCAAGGAAACAAGTTATGATATAAAATAAAGCAAGAAGCAAGGAAGGCATGATGATGCAGGAGTTCTACGCCAGTCTGGCCTACAGGGAGACCCTCTATCTAAATTAAAAAATTAAAATTAAAAAATAGCAATAGTAATAATAATAATACAGTAATAGAAAGGTAGGTAAGAAACCCCACCTTCCCTATTTCCTACAGCCTAATTGTCCAGGCTTATTTTTTCCCACCAATATCAAACAGATCTCATGCAATTTAATTTAAGCATATATCTGAAACACATGTGAATGTATTTAAACCGAACCATCTTCAAGTTCTGCCTGAATGAAGCCAGACATGTGGCACAGGCTTTTAGTCCCAGTACTCTAGAAGGCAGAGACAGGTAGATTCCTGCGTTTGAAGATCATCCTAGTCTTTCACAAAGCAAGTTACAGGACAGCCAGGTTTACAGAAAAACCTTGTTTCCAAAAACCCAAAACTACTCCACCCCCAAATCCCAAAACTAAAATTTCTGTCTGAGCCTGAGATCTATTAAGCATATTCAAGCAACATTGTAAAACATATTCATAAGACTTGTCTTGAAGGCTCACATCTATAATTCCAGCACTTGAGAGAGACAGAAGTCAGGATTTGGTCAAGGTTTTGGTAAGCTTGGCCTTCATAACGGATTTCCACAGCAACCAGACATACACAGCCAGACTAAAAATTTCATAACTCCTAAGCAGAATGTAAAATTACTAACATTTCTTTTAGAGCACCAAAAAGCTTTATCTTACTTTTGATACATTGGATTCTTCTGGGCCAGTTTTTCAGGAAGACCATCTTCATCATCTAACTGTTCAAGAGGTTCCACAATGACTGGGCGAGGCGTCCTAGTAACAGAAATGATTCCTCACCTTAACTTCCTTCCAACTTTATTTGTAACCCCCAAAATTATCAAAAATTTACCATAAACAAAAGACAACTTACGTTGTCAGTAGGAAAACACCTTCACTGCATCTTTCAAATGCTTTTCTTGCTGCTGGCTTTGAAGCAAACTCAACAATGCCTTTCCCTGTAGATCTTCCACGATCATCCACAATTACAACAGCCCTTTCAATAGGACCAAACTGGCTAAAGGCCTCTTCCAACAGTTCGTTAGAAACATAGGGTGAAAGATTCCGAACAGAAAGAGCTGCAGCATGTGTGGCAAAGCGAACCCGAAGCTGTCTACCCCTCATAGGGGTATCATCAAGTTCAGCTTTGGCGATTTCAGCCAAGGCTCTAGACTCCTGTAAATATCAGAAACATTTTTAAACAACTCCAAAACTAGCTAATGTCCAATTTGTCATACCCCTTCCTATTCTTACAACTCACTCAACTGAAGCATCATCTTCCCGCAGTTCCTTCCAACATCCCAAGGGCTAAACTAAAGGTCTTTGTTGCTCTGCCCCCAATACATACTATACTGATCTGTATCGATGACGGAAAAACTTAAAGGCCAGTTACTTCTTCCCAGAAATTGGGAAGAAGTTTAAAACCAAACCTTCAAGACTTTGCAAAGAAAAAATAGAAACCCAAACATTTTTTATTACGTATATAAGAAAAAACTACCAAATACACTCACAAGTTTAATGAACCCGAACCCTTTGCCTTTGTTGATAAAAACTTCTCCGGGTTCTCCGTATTTAGCAAACAGTCTTTTGAATTCATCCTCTGTGATATCAGCAGGTAGGTTCCCCACAAACAACCGACAGCGCTGTGTGTAAGTTTTTTCTCCAGGCCTCCGCAAGAGAGACAAGTTGGCTTTAAATCCCTAATGAAAAAACTGGAATTCAGACACCAAAGCAGAAAAACAAACAAAACCAAAACCAATTTTGGTTGTCCCGAATAGGCCGTATCACCCATTCGTAACGATACTTTTTTTTTTTTCCCATACAAACACTGCCAAGTTGTACCGTATTAGGAGATCCAACAGGATCACCTGACATCGGTAAGGCCGTGACCATACAAAAGGCTTTAAACACACTCGCCGTTATCAGCAAATGTCAATCAACACTTGCTGACGTCAACAAACAAATCGAAAAGGATAAAACCAGGACCGGAACTGCACCAAAAAACGCCGTGTCCTCCCCAACAGCACTGCATCGCACCAGCACCGTCCCAAGGGACTGCCAGCTTCTAGCAACCCACCGCCAAGCCAACAGCTGCCCTCCTGCTGCAAGAAGCCAATCCCTAGCGAACTCCTGTCCCCGCCGGCCGCGCAGCCCCCGCCTTCGCGAGCATGCGCAGGCGCGCTTCCGGCAGGCAACAAAATGGAGGCCTGCGCTGCCGCGGGCGGGGGGGGAAAAAAAAAACGCCGAGGGTAGGGAGGCGCCCGCCATCTTAGGGGAACGGACAGCTCGCTCGTGGGACTACTCACCTCCGAGTCGGATATCTTTTCTTCCGTGCGGGCTGCTGGCCCGCTGGGAGGGGGGCCCCTGGTGATGCTGCTGGTGGTAGGGGCGGGTGGTGCTGGCGGCCCCCCGCGGGGCTCGCCGCCACCCCCGGTGAGGTGGCTTCGGGTGACCCCCCGGGAGCGCCCATTCCCGGGCCACCTCCGGGTTTAGGCCCACCCGGCATCTTGCCCTGCCTTTCGGGCCGCCGGGGCCTGGGCCTGGGCCGGGCTTAGGCCCTGGTCCCGCGCGCCGCCGGCGGGGGGAGGCGGAGGACCACCGGTCTGGGGCGGCGTCGTCGAGACTCCGCTGCTCGGTGTCGAAGGCGGAGGCGGGCCAGGGGTAGTGGAGGTGACCGCGGGTGGCGGGGGTCGGAGTAGGACCGGGGCCCGGCGGGGCGCCGGTGGTCGGGGGATTGGCCGGCGGGGGCCGAGCCGGCGGGAGGCGGCGCAGTGCTCACTCCCGGCGCGGAGCCGGGGCCTTGGGGGACGACGGGCTTGGACGAGTCTTGCGGCGGAGGCGGGGGGCTGCTGATGGGGCGGCTGGTGTGGCGGCGGCTGCTGGTGCGGCGGCGGGCTGCTGAGGCGGGGGCTGCTGCGGCGGGGGCTGCTGCGGCTGCGGCTGGTGCTGCTGCTGGTGCGGAGGCGGAGGCGGGATCGGTGGCTTCGGGCCGCCAGGGCCCGGGCCCATGGGGCCGCGGTTCTGGTTGAGGCCCATGCCAGGCGGCGGAGAGCGGAAGTCATGGAGGCCGCCGCGGCCGCCGCCGCCGCCTCCACGCCGATGAAAGCCGCCACCTCGCCACCGCCGCGACTCCGGAACCGATCCCGAGACATAGCTGCAGTCAAGGGGCGGTTGAGGCAGAAGCGGAGAAGTCGCTCGGGGAACGTAGATGCCACCTTGCTTCGCACAAAATGGCGGACGACACAAGCAGCGCACCGCCCTTTGTCCTCTTCTTAAATAGGCCAGTTCGGCCTGGCCCGCCTTCCCTAGATTGACAGTTCAGTTATCCAATAGCAAGTACAGTACTTGATGATGAAACCTAAATCTTCCTTATTGGCTCTCTAGAGAGAGGCGGGAGGAAGGGAGGGGGCTGAGTTTTCCATTTGGGCCTATGAAGGGATAAGGACTTGCCTATACGCCTCTGTGATTTGTTGGAAGAAATTTGAATGGGCAATGCCTTGCCAACTTTCCCGTGAAATCAAATATCCAGGGCCATATCAGCTCCTGATAGGCTGGAAAAGCTCTTTCTTTCTTCTATTCTTCTTTGAGCAGTCCGCTATTCTTGTCCAGAAAAACATATTCACTGGTTCAAAGTTATAAATTGAGCACCTGGTATCTAACTCTTCTTTGTGCCAGGCCAATGAAGTCAGAGAAAAATGTCACAGAGTCTTTAAGCACAAAGATTTTTATTTCATTGAAACCTCATCGGAGACTAGCAAGTTGGCAAACACATGTGAGCCCATCACTTGGGACGTGGAAACAGCATGATCCGGAGTTGAAGTTTATCTCTACATTATCAACTACATTCAGTTAGAAGCCAGATTGGGCTACATGAAACGTTAAAAAAAAATTAAGAAAAAGGAAAAGCAAAAATAGCCCATAGGAGCACAAGTTGTTGTAGCACTATAAAATTTGCCATTACGCTTAAGCGAATTCAGTCTTTGTCCAAGAGGAAAACTGAGTTAGAGAGCTGAGGTTACACTTTCCTGGCATGCAGAAATCTCAGTTTAATCCCAACAAAGGGGTAAATGAGATAGATTATGACTGTATGTGTGTGTACAGTAATAATTTACAAACACAAATCTTGGGAGAGGAACATGAATTTTTCTGTTTTGATTTTTTGAGACAGAGTTTCTCTCTGTATCCTTGCCTGTCCTGGAACTCACACTGTAGACCAGACTGGCCTCGAACTCAGAGATCTGCCTCCCTCAGTCTCCCAGGGGCTTGGACTAAAGGCATGCAACCACCAGGTTGGCTTAGGTGGGTTGTTTGTTTTTTGTTTTCTTTGTTTTTGGTTTTTCAAGACAGGGTTTCTCTGTGTAGCTTTGGTGCCTTTCCTGGAACTCACTCTGTAGCCCATGCTGGTCTCGAACTCACGGAAATCCACCTGGCTCTGCCTCCCGAGTGCTGGGATTAAAGGCGTGTGCCACCACTGCCCAGCGATTTTTTTTAATCCCCTCCACTTAATACTTCATAAACAGATAAGAGACTTTAAAAATTACTTAGGTGAGAGAACATGACTTTAATCCCAACACTTGGGAGGCAGAGGTAGGTGCATCTGTGTGAGTTGGGAGGCCATCCTGATCTACATAGAGTGTTCCAGGACATCAAGGGCTACATAGAGAGATCCTGTCTCAAAAAAATAAAAATTATTTGGGTGGAATGACACTATGTAATCTCAAAATTTAGGTGGTAAAAGCTGGAGGCTCAAAGCCTGCATCATTTACATATCATGTTCTAAGACTGCCAGAGCTACTTAGTGAGACCCTGTTTCAAAACACAAAAGTTATTACCCTAAAAGGGAAAAGCATGGATTGCCCTAGGAAGGGGAAATAGATAAGATCTGGGTAAGGGGGGAGGGGCTCATGGATATGAACACTAGGTAACAGGATGGTTGAGTTGGGGGAGGGAGAGAAAGGAAAGAGATAACTTGATAGAGGGAGCCATTATGGGGTTAGAGAGAAACTGGTGCCAGGAAAATTCCCAGGAATCCACAAGGACAACCCCAGCTAAGACTTATAGTGGAGAGGGTGCCTGAACTGGCCTTCCCCTATAATCAGATTGATGACTGCCCTAATTGTCATGAGAGAGCCTTTATCCAGTAACTGATGGAAGCAGATGCAGAGATCCCCAGCTAAGCACTGAACCTGGACCCAGCTCCTGGACTCTAGTCGAAGACAGGGAGGAAGGATTATATGAGCAAGGGAGAGGGGGTCAAGATCATGATGGGGAAACCCACAGAGACAGCTGACCTAAGCTAGTGGGAGCTCACTGACTGTGAACTGACAGCTGGGGAACCCACATGGGACCAAACTAGGCCCTCTGAATGTGGGTGACAGTTGTATGGCTTGGTCAGTTTGTAGGGCCCCTGGCAGTGGGACCAGGATTTATCTCTAGTACATGAACTGGCTTTTTGGAGCCTATTCCTTGTGGAGGGATATCTTGCTCAGCCCTTGATGCAGGGGACAGGGGCTTGGTCCTGCCTCAACTTGAAATGTCAGACTTTGTTGACTCCCCTTGGGAGGCCTTACCCTCTCTGAGGAGTGAATGGGGGTGAAGGGGGAGGGTTAGAAGGGGGAGTGTGAGGAGGGGAGGGAGGAGGAAATGTAGTTGGTATGTAAAATAAAAAAAATTTAATAAAAATAAAAAAAGAAAGCAGGCTGAGCAAGCCAGTAAGCAGCACTCCTCCATGGCCTTAGTATCAGCTCCTACCTTCAGGGTCCTGCCCTGTTGGAGTTCCTGTCCTAGCTTCCTTCAATGACAGACTACAATGTGGAAGTGTTAGCCAAATAAATCCTTTCTTCTGAGAAAAAAAAGTTACAATATTATATGTTAGGTTGGGTATGCTATAATCCCAGCACTCAAGAGGCAAAGGCAGGTGGATCTCTGTGACCTGGAGGCCAGCCTGTTCTACATAGTGAGTTCCAGGCCATCAAGAGCTACATAGTGAGACCCTGTCAGAAAAAAAAAATTATGCAGATTTGAGGACATAACTCAGTAATGAAGTGCTGGTCTAGCTTGCAAGCCCTTTACTACTTTGAGGCCTTAGGTTCAACCCTCAGCCCCACAGAAACAAAATTTTTTATGATATTAAGGTATTGATAAGTATCAATATGAAATCAACCAATTGTGGCAGCATCCCTTTTCCTTCAAAGTCCCCAAACCCCCCAGTGTTGGGCCAGCAAGGTGATTAGTTCAGATACAGGTTCCTGCTACCAAGCCTGATGATTTGAGTTCAATCACTCAGACCCACATGGTGAAAGGAGAGAACCAACTCCTGCAAGCCAATTGTCCTCTGATGTCCACACATGTCCATATATGCACGTGCCCACAAAATAAATGTCATTTAAAACATTCCCAGTCTTCCATCATACCTAGAAATCCAAGATACCAACCGCTCTACCACTGAGATGTTTCCCCAGACCCTCTGCATCTTCCGTGATAACAACTAGCCATATCCTTTAATGCCCCCCAGCTACTGTCTCTTCTCTTTATTTTTATTTCACTATTAGCTTATTACTATTATTATTATTTGTTTTTTTGAGTAAGTTTTTTCTATGTAATCCTGGCTACAAAGAACTCAGAGATCCACCTGCCTCTGCCTCCCAAGTGCTGGGATTAAAGGTGTTCACCACCACCCCCCTGCTTTATTTTTTTTAAAGACAGGATCTCTATATAACCCTGACTGTGCTGAAACTCACCCTGTAGACAATGCTGGCCTCAAACTTACAGAGATCTCCCTACCTCTGCCTCCTGAGTGCTGAGATTAAAGATGTGCGCCACCACACCTGGCTTTGAATTCTTATATTCAGAATTTGTTTCATCTGGTTTAGATATTATCACTGCCTACAAACATAAAATCCTTGATTTCGCCGGGCAGTGGTGGCGCACGCCTTTAATCCCAGCACTCGGGAGGCAGAGCCAGGCGGATTTCTGTGAGTTCGAGGCCAGCCTGGGCTACCAAGTGAGTTCCAGGAAAGGTGCAAAGCTACACAGAGAAACCCTGTCTTGAAAAAACCAAAAAAAAAAAAAAATCCTTCATTTCTTGTCCACACTAACCTGATAAAATGACTCCAACAATTCCCTTTCTCTCACAGATCCATAAGTTATCACATTAAATTCTGCTTTGTTTTGTCCTTTGACCTTTTACAGAGCGTGTGTGTGTGTGTGTGTGTGTTTGTGTGTGTGTGTGTGTGTGTGTGTGTGTGTGTGCCATGCACCTGGAGATCAGAGGACAACTGGCCAGGCCAGCCAGAGATACAAAGAGAGACCCTGTCTCAAAACAAGGAAACACAAAACACATGGATCTCTAAAGTCACCCAAGTGTTATAACCTGGAAGACAAAAGGTGTTGAGTCTGAAAAGTGTAAGCAGCGTATCACAGGTTTGTCTTCATATTGAACAGCAAATTGAAGGAATAAGCTGGAATGGTGGTTCATGCCTATAATTCCAACACCCAGTAACTTGAGGAGAATCACTGCAGGTTCAAGGACAGCCAGGACTATATAACAAGACTTTTTTTTTTTTTGGTTTTTCGAGACAGGGTTTCTCTGTGTAGCTTTGCGCCTTTCCTGGGACTCACTTGGTAGCCCAGGCTGGCCTCAAACTCACAGAGATCCGCCTGTCTCTGCCTCCCGAGTGCTGGGATTAAAGGCGTGTGCCACCACCGCCCGGCCGACTTTTTCTAAAAGAGTGTTAAGGTGGCATATGCCACCATGCCCAGCATGAAGATAATCATTTTTAAATCTTTTTAGGGAGAGGACAAAAAAAAATCTTTATTTGGGGCTGGGAATATGGCTCCGTGTGCTCATCTAACATTTGTGGTTACATCCCCAACACTATAAAAACTAGCATGGTGGCACATACCTGTGTTCCCAGGTATGAAAGTGAATGGAGGAAGAGCTGAATATGTTTGTTTGTTTGCTTTTTTGGTTTTTCGAGACAGGGTTTCTCCGTGTAGTTTTGGTGCCTGTCCTGGATCTTTCTCTGTAGACCAGGCTGGCCTTGAACTCACAGAGATCCTCCTGGCTCTGCCTCCCGAGTGCTGGGATTAAAGGCGTGCGCCGCCACCCGCCCGGCAAGAGCTAAACTTTAAGGACAGTCTTGGTACATAATGTACTCAAGAACAAACTGGGCTATGTGAGATTCTTGTTCTGGTGGAAGTTCCACCTCAGCCCCCTGCATCCATATGCCCAAAGAGTCTGGAATGTTCTGGTGGAAGCTCCACCTCAATCCA